AGGCAAAAAGCAGCAAATATAACAATGACAGAGAGTCCTCCTTGGAAGCAAGACTAATATCCCTCATGAACTTAGTTAAGTATAAAATAGCTAAATAAGATTTTAGCAAATCAAGTCTAACAACATATTAGTTACTACATCATGACCCAAGTGGGTTTATTCCAAGTATGGAGGCTTGATTTAACATTTGAAGATCAGTCAATGAACTATAAACAAAAACTATATGCTTACCTCAATAGACAGAAAAATCACTTGACAAAATCCAATATCCATTCCTGATAAAACTCTTAGCAAACAAAAAACCTAAAGGAACTTTCTTAAGTTGATAAATGGCATGTATGAAGAATGTATAGTTAGCATCATATTGAAGAACTAAGATCCTCCTAAGATTAGGACCAAGACAAAGATCTCTGTTCTCTTCACTTCTACTTAGCCTTGTAATGGAGGTCTGCAGCCGGACAAAAGAAAAGACTTTTTTTGTAGAGGATGATTGTCATCTTTGAAAATCTTATGGCATTTCTCAAAAAGTTACTAGAATTAGTAAGTTAATTTAGCAGGGTTGTGGACACAAGATTAATATATTAAAATCAATTATATGTACTAGCAGTGAGCAATCAAGAAATTGAAACTGAAAAAATTGCCCCTTATAATAGCATATGAAATGATATGAAATTTTAGGGGTAAATCTTGCCAAAACACATTAAAGACCTGTACACTGAAAACTAAAAATCATTGCTGAGAGAAATTAAAGATCTAAATAAATGGAGAGATTCACTTTATGGTTCTGAGAATTCAGTATTGTCAATTCTCCCTCAATTATTCTGTAGTTACATCATCCCAATAAAAATTTCTGGAAGTTCTTTTGGGTAGAAATTAATAAACTGTTTCTAAATTTCATATGGAAATACAAAGAACATAGAATAACCAAAACAAGTTTCAAAAAAAGCAAAGTTGAAAGCCTAATACTGCCTGATTTCAAGACTTATTATAAAGCTATCATAATCAGAACAGTGGTTCTGATTGGTGTAATAGACAATACCAAATCCATTGTGTGTAATAGACAAAAGAGACAATAGACAAATAGATCAATAGACAAAATCTATTGGTGTAATAGACAATAACAATTGGTGGACAAATATTTGAAACAGAGGATCTAGGAAGTGGTGGGAAGACATATTTTTGACAAAGGTACAAAGGCAGTGTGATGAGAAACGGATAGTTTCTTGACAGCACCATTTGCTATACATAGTTCATTCTGAATTCATAAGGTAACTGGGGAGGCCATGTGTATTAATTCTCTTTATCCAATTAATTCTCTTTATCCAAAGGAAACATAATACTTCTATATGTATGACAAGGGGTTAATTAAGATTTACATACGTATCAAAGGGATAGTTGGAAGTTTTCTCAAGACAATGACCTAAGAAGAGGGAAAAAGGGATAAGGCCTTTTGGCACCAGGAAAAAAATTATTTTTTCATTAATCTTTAACCAAGATTACCATCTACCTCTGGGCTTTTTTTTTTTTTATACCTAGCCCCTATTTCTTGATATGATTTAGACAAAGTCTTGCTTCCTGTGATTGATATGAGCAAATTAGCATTCCTATCCTTTCCAGTTCCTCTTCCCATATAACCAACTCACAACTATTGGGCTTTTTGTTATACGAAATAATCCCAACTGTTTATGTAGTTTCAGTGTCCTCTGACCTATAGGAAAGTTACCCTAAATTATTTGACCCCTAAAAGAGAGGAAGATGAATTTTTTGCAGCCCCTTTGTGTCTCAAGATCACAAATGTTCCACTTCTAGTTTATCTTTCAAAAAATGGATTTGAATCCACAATACTGCCATGTTTGTTTCAGTGTTTTTTTCTTCCCCACCCTTTCCCAGCAGGAAACAACTTTAAGATTTAAGAAAGGCAGAGAGGGGCAGATCTTTTGGAGAGGTTAATAATTGTATATTTTAATGTATCATCTTTTAGAATATAATTTCTACTGCGTGTCTTCAATTTATCCATCCTAAGACATTATTTAAACATTAGGAGTATGAATGAAATGGAAGATTAAAGTAAATTATTTTTCAGAGTCTAAGGTTTTCCTGTGAGTTAGTTGTAGTCCCTAATGCAAGCCTTTAGGGTTGTAGCATCTATCCATAATACCCTGAACACCACCCCTGGTAGTGGTGGAAAAGAATAAACAAGTCAGCAAGGCTCATTTGATAAACATAAAGAATTGGGTAAAGAGCACATTAGCTTGGTAGTTGGTTCTTTTTTAACCTTAGCATTTCTCCATAGACGCTTAAATGTTTCTTCTGAGATTTGGCTGACTGTTCTTTCCTATTTGACTGTAAACTTTCCTATTTGGTGAATACTACCAACACTTGGTTGAGATTGCTTCTCGTACCGTCACCTCCTCTGAATGTCTTGTCTTTCTAGATAAAAGAAAGATAAAAGAGACATATGTAAACAGCATTTTAAAATAGTTCTAAAAAGTAAGCAAGACATCCAGTAAAACTGAGGTTCTTAATAGCAACTTTTTATATACTTACAGGCCTTTGGCAATGCCGTTTGTCATCTGTTATCTTCAACTTTGAACTGTAGTCATAAAAAATCCTTACTGGAAGAGAAAGTATCTAGTAGTCTGATAGCTAATTTGAATTAGACTTTTCTCAACTTTCATAGCAAAGATCACACTTCTCCAGTTGTTCTGTATTTAAAATCCAAGTTAAAAATCTCTGTCAGTAATAATGTACCATGGCCTTAACATGTGTTGTTTAGCTATTTTACTTTAATTTCAAACATTTATTTTGCTATAAATTTTTAAATATGCATCTATAGTCTAGCTCCTGCTGTCTAGGGCCTATTTGACTCTCCAAGTAGTTCATCCAAACCACTGCTTAAGGTCCAGAGGAATCCTCTGGAAGCTTGGCATGAAAGTTGTATTAATTTCCTAGAGTTGCAGTAACAAATCACCACAAACTTTGTGGCATTACAGAAGTTTATTCTGTCACAGCTCTGCAGGCCAGAAGTCAGAAATAATTTTCCTCTGAAGGTGTTCCTTGGATGGTGGGAGCTTAACTTGAGTCTTTGCCTCTGCCTTTACATGATTTTCATGTCTCTGGGTCCAGATCACTTGCTCTCCTTTCTCTTGTAAAGATAGAAGCCATTGGTTTTAGGGCCCACCCTAAGTCAAGGATGGTTTCCTCTTGAGATCCTTGACTGATTATATACCAGAGACCCTATTTCCAAATAAAGTGACATTCTGAGGCACCAGATAGACATGAGTTGGGGAATAGGGAGGCTACTCAACCCACTACAGTTTTATTGTTTCATGATTGTTTAAAAATAAAGTACCACTTTCTGTTATCTAAAGCTTTCACATAACTTGTGTATTTATGTAAGGTACTTCTATAGCACTTTACAATGTAAAAAAATCATTTTACAAGAAACTGCATTTTCTCTTTATTTCTTTACCTACTCCTCTCCCAAGAAGTGTTGCAGTTAGAGTGAGCCTGCTACATTAGCCCACATTTAACCAAAAGACATGGAACTGCACAGAACATAGCTCTCTCCTGGACATGTTTGTGCCCAGAACATAGAGAGCTTGTGCTTCTCATCTCCATACAGTAAGCAGACCCAGCAGAGTCTCTTGCTGTGTCCATCCAAGTCTTTTTCCGTTCCAGCTTCTCTGCCTGTTACCTGGTGAATAAGTTGGTCAAGCAGATCTCAAGGTCTGGGATCAAAGAGTGAAACTAGAGGCCCTGTTACTCTCCATTCCAGCTTTACTGGTTATACAGTTGATAAGTAGCCTCCATTTACCTCAGTGCTATATGGTTTTATTCTGTCACCCAGATCAATAACAGTAAAATGAAAAGATGTTAATGTGCCTATTTTTAAAATAAAGGAAGTTTAGCTAAGATACTGTAAAGGAATTCTTCACCAAAGCCTTAAGTAAAGCCCAGCTACTTACTGCTAAGATCAAGAGTTATAACCCAGATTGCCAACTCTGTATAGTTGTTTTATGCTCACTTTGATAACCCCCTAATAGAATTCATATTGGAACTTGCCCAATTATATAATGTGATATACATATATTTTTACCTATAATGGTAAGAATCATTGTATAAACTGTTTTAAATTTCTAAGTTCCCCCTGTGCCCTGCAGTATTCATGGAGAGGTGTAAATATATATGTCTTCATATAAACAATGCTATTACCTATTAAGAGAGACTAATGAATGATTAACCCTCCTGTAAATCCATAATGTTTCTAGAACTTTTTTGAACAGTTTGTAGTATCTTCTCCAAGAACTATAAAAACTCATGTATTAGGAGTATATAAAGTCATTGCTGTGCCCAAATAATATGGCTTACTTATTTCCTTTAGTGTTTGTTAATAAATATAGATGCTTGCAATGCAGAAGATCCAGGTTTGATCCCTGGGTTGGGAAGATTCCTTGGAGAAGGGAGTCGCAACCCACTCCAGTATCCTTGCCTAGGAAATCCCATGGACAAAGGAATCTGTCAGGCTACAGTCCATGAGGTCCCAAAGAGTCAGACAAGACTGAGTGCCTAACACACAAACACACACACATTAATTTGTAGTTATACTGTGATCTCTGTAAGTTGCCAAAACGTATGATTGATATTATATCTGAATTTTAAAAGAATATCTCTAAAAAATCATGGATTGGTTTGTTTTATGCCATTTTACAGCATTATTGTTTTATGTGCTTCAGACAGGTGTGTGGAATTTGCTTTTTAACTGCCTTCTTTCAGAGGTCTAGTTGTTCATCTTACTGGATTTTATTATGCACTTTTCTGGAATACATTGATTTTGTGTTTTTAATCATTTGAATGACTTAGGTTCACTTTTTAGTGTGTGTTTTATCAAAGTTGCTTAAAATAGGTTACTGCTGTCCTCTCCCATTATAACTGAGATCACGTGATCTTCTTGTTGAATTCTAGTTGAAACTCATTTTTTTTTTTTTTTTAATTTTCAGGTATTTGTATCTGCTGTTCTCCGGTGATGACCTTTTACCTTTAGACCACTGGGTATTTAATACAGAGGCTCACCCTCTGCCCGTGTTACATTTAGCCAACACCACACTTTCAAGAAATCCTGCTGTTCGATGAATGTAGCTCCAGAAAGACCATTCTCACCTGTGTTTTGTTTACATGGACCACTACAGAAATTAGTCTGGAGAGGGGCCTTTTGAAAACCTGGACCTCTTAAGTCAACATCGCAGGGTGAAACATGACTATTCCCTGCAAGACTTTTCAACTTGTAGATATTTCAACTTTGAAATGATTCCATTTTATACCTGACCAAAACATATTCTGGTGTATGTAGGACAGAGACCTGATGTGTTTTGATTCTTAACGAGATGGTCACTTGAGAAATTATGCCTGTTGCTATTGTTTCTAGAGTCCTGGAATCTGGAGGCTATACTTCCTAAGAATAAGCCAAGAATGTGGAGCACCTTGCAGGAGTTGGAGATGGCCTTTGGAACCAATTACACATTTGTTTCCTCCCAAAGTGGAGCAGCTCTCACATCACAATATTTACACATTGTTTGTCCTCTTTCCCCCTCCATTTTTAATAATGGAATGAATTAAAATAAACAAGAGCAAAAGAACAATGTAACTGCATCGGCCGCAGGAAGACTCGAAAAAGAAACAGAATGCCTATCCCTCTCTGAATTTTCAAGTTCCCATTAGATGCAGACTGGCAGCCATTTCAAGTCGCAGTCTAGTCCATTGAAATTTCTTGGTTAAATTTGATTTCTCTGGGGACATGATTCACAAAGAATACTCTTCAAGTCTTTGTCTCCATATGGAATCATTGAAACTACTGTGTATCATCACCACTACTTACGAGCCTGGGTTTGGAATTCCGTGCATGTTGTTCAGTCTCGTGTTGGTAGCATGACAAAAAGTGGGGAAAATGCTGCAGTTTGTTGCCTTGAAACCTGTTCTAAGAGAAAGCCTTGGTTTTGTTGGTAGGAGATTATTTTTTCAAACCAGCAAATCTACCAAGTAAATTTCGTTCAGTTTCACCTTAGTAGACTCCCTCAATTTTCAGCTCTTTGTGTGGCTTGGCAAAATTCACTGCACTGTGTGCAGCTCTGAATTTACCTTGATGAGCCAGATTACTTTCACAATTTATTAAATAAAAAACAATATGTAGTGAAACTTCCTTAACTGTTTTTGGGATAGGGGATCCTTTGTTATCCCATCAGATGAGTGAGCTTTTCATAAACATTTTATGTAAAAAATAAATTCAACTTTTTTTCTCCAAGGATATTTATATAAATTGAAAGAATTAATCAGAGCAGTTTCAAAATAATACTTAGTAATTAAAATGTGGTATAATTTAATTATATTACACTAAATTTGAAATATATCTAAGGGGCTTTCTCTTACCATCAATAGATTTTACAATATTTCTTTATATTTGTGGGGGAATAACTTAAATTTTATCAGGAACTAAAAGATAAATAAGGCTTATAAAATTTTCTGCCCCTTAAATTTATGTCACAGTGCAAGATGCTTTTTCTTCTTTACACTTAATACAAACAGCTTCCATTGGCAGTAATAGTTGGGAGTAGTAATTCTTTACTTTTTTCTGTCCTTTACAGTCCTTTGCATTTTGTAGCCCTTATGACTCAGGTTAAACATTCGTTACATTTTTAAGATCTTCTGCAAAGAGCCTAGAAATGCTCCTTTCCAGGTGCCTCCTCAAAAGCAGACACATTACTTTGTGCCTTTGGCACAAATGTGCAGAGTAGATAGATCATTTGGTATACAAGCGAAAAAAATAGATGTTGAACACCCTTCTACCTTCTATATTTATTTTTCTTTCTTTTAGAATTTTGGAATCACATTTTTGGTTCAAACCAGTATTAAGTTGTTAAAACCAAGAGAATGTGGTCCCAACTGAAAAGAAGTCTCAGTACAGAAAAATAGGTACCCAGCCACAGGATTCTTACTTTCTGGTGGGTTGCAGAGATGTGCTGTCTTATGTCTGACACCAACTTATCCTTGTCTTTGAGCAGATGTTTATGTGTAAAAGCAAAACCTGGATATTGAAGGAATATATTCCTGTTGTGGGATATTGACCCTGATTCTCTGTGATGTTCTCTAGGACAACCCAGGGCTTCAATTGGTAGATTTTAACCAAGCAGTTTGAAATTTTGATCATTAACGTCTCCTCTCCCATTCTCCATTGCCAAAGTCTTTGTCAAAACTTCAAATTTGTTGGTAAAATTTGTTGTGCTTGCCCTTGTAGTTTCTCCTTAGGCGTGGATTCCTTATGAATGAATGAATGAGTGAGTGAGTGAGTGAGTGAGTGAACAAGCACAGCATACCTAATGTGTGCCAAGCATTGTGCTCGGCACTTTCAGGTGTCAGAACACTTTGTGATTCCAGTGGCATTTTCTGTATAAGAGTTGTTCATACCGTTCTAAGTGTTTTTCAGTATGATTCATGTTACAAAATCCTTAATTTTATATTTCCTTTAAATTAAAGAAGAAAAGAAATGGTTTATAATATATTTTAAACAATGTGCTACTATATAATACTAACAGCTATAATTGTAGTTAATAACTAAAGTCTCTTGAAAAATGTCAAAAGAAATACTTGATTTCTGATGCAACTTTGACTAAAATATCTACTTTAGAAATAAAAACATTCTTATTTTGCTATTATCACTTTAATTGCATAATTAAAAGTTAATGTTTTATAGAAATGCTGGTTATTTTATATTCAAAAAATTTTGTCACATAATTAAATGGGTAAAATTTGCAGTTAGTTGTAAATTGTTTATGCTCTGCTGTGGTTCCTAGTAATGGTCTCATGCTGTTAAATATAAAAGAAGAATATACTGAAATATTTCTAAGTTCCTAATAACAGTTCCTAGTAATGGTATTTTGAGTTCTTATTTTTCTTTAGGTTTCCTTACACTCAGATTGGCTAGTTCATATCTTAATCTACTCTTTATGTAGATATATACATAAATACAATGATATACAGAAAGGTTTTTAGTATTGTTTCTGTTAATGAACACCGTTGTTAACTGGTTTTGGCTGCAAAAATTCTAAGCAGAATATTTGAGTAACCAAATATGATCTGGAGATATTTTAATGTACTTGGTTCCGGAACATTGATGAAGATGATTTTCTCTTCCTTCAACTCATTCAGGTCATGTTCTCTGTGGTCTGTGGATCAGCAAGCTTTCCTCCAGAGAGTCAGACGGTAAATATTTCAGGCTTTGTGAGCCATACAGTCTCTCTCTCTACTACTCAGTTCTGCTGTTAAGCCATCAAAGCAAGTGTAGACAACATGTAAAGGAAGGGGTATCGGTGGCTGTTTTCCAATAAAACCTTATTTTCTGGAACATGGAGGACTAGATTTGGCCCATGGATCGTAGTTGTTAACTTTTGATCCCGATTTTAATTTGTGTAAGACCCTATAATCTTTGATATGCATCTTTTATCTGTGTTTTGAATACATAATTCATTTTTAAAGCAAAAAAAAAGTCATGTATGTACAATCATATGTATTTGTGTAACCTAAAGCTATATATTTGTTGTCTTGAAAATAGCTATACTCTGGAGGCTGTTCAGGTTTCAGTATGGTACAACTATCTTGAAAGAGGCATTTTGTTTGTTTGTAGGGTATGCTCTTAGCCCTTATCCTTGTCATTTAGTGCCACAATTCCAGAGTCTCCATGTAAAAGAAAGGATCTCTGTGGTATCAAAATTAGTATATTTGCTTCAGGTTCTGCCTGCCCATTAACCTTTGGGCCAGGACTCTGGATGGCTGGAACTGCAAAAATTCCTCCACTTGAATACTCTTAGGGCCCTATGACAAGAATGTGAAATTATATTTCTGACCTTTGTGCTACAGAAGTCAATCTCCTGAAAAAATTTTAAGCAACAGAAAATGGGTTATGTGCCTCAGTTGCCATGTGGCAACCACTATTCCTTTTTTTAGACTGCAGAAAGGTACCATTGCCCTTGTTACCTCTACAACAGCCTAAATCTGAGGAATGCAGAAAAAAACATGTGTCCCAAAGAAGAGTTCCCTTCCTCTTCTTGCACTTGCTCCATCCTTTTCAGGTCTAGTATTTCAGAATGTCAGTGTGCATCATATTTAAATTAAAGCATCCTCAGCCTTCTAACTGTTTAACAACTAATCCACTTTAAACTTTGAGCCCAGCAGAACTCATGAAATTACATGATACCACATGGCTAGTATGTATGTACATTGCAGTGCACCGAGCTTCCTGAGGATAGCTTTTTTCACAAAGAAGTTTACCAAATATTTCACTATATTTGGAAATCCTAGAAGAGGGGAAGCCTGTACTCAGAATGGCAGGGGGACACACACCATAAATGAATTACCTTTCTGAGTCCAGCACGCAATACAGATGGCTTAAGCTCAGTGTGAATCAGTGTGAGTACACAGACACATACACCCACATACATACATGTTAATATGCAGAAGATTTTAAATAAAAATGTGTTGCAGCTATTGGAAAGCTACAGACTTCTACTGCAAATTATATACCAGAAAAACCCATGGAGATAAGCTCACCTCTTGGGAAAAGTTATTTTTTAGAAAATTTAGAAATTAGTTTTTGTTGGATAAGTTGAATAAAGCATCCCCAGTTTTAATACTGGATTCAGAAATTGAAATGCCATTTCTCAATCTTACTGGTCTCAAATTCACTGGTATAATTTTTCCCTAAACTAACATGTGGGGCAAGTATAACCTCCTAAATCAGTACCCACCAGCCACTCCTGAACTGATTTCCAGTTATGTCCTCCATACGTAATTTTTATAAATTAAAGGTAATATTGTATATTAAAGATTAAATAAAGATGTTCTTTAAGTGAAAAGTCTGTTTATCCTTCATTTGTACCCACTGATGACAGCACAGTTCAGTCTTCCTGTTTGTAGAACAACTTGGACTTTCAGTTGGGAGACTGTGGGAACATTCAGAGAGTATTTCTTTTGGTTCAGCTAATCTTAATATTCCTCAGTGTTATAGAAAGATGAAGAGCTTGCCAGATGAAATTTTCATGCCATCTAATTTTAAGAAAACAAGCTATAGGCCTGTGTGACTTTTATCTACTCTAGTCCAACCTCTGAGACCATCAAGTTTAAAAATTATATAATCACTGGATCTCTTTCTGTTACATGACTCTTCTTAAGTGATTGTTGAGCAAAAACAGGCCTACGGGACTTGAGTAATCCATTACACAGTGTACGCATATATCATAGCATGAAGAAGTGAAGTGAAGTGAAGCCACTCAGTCGTGTCCGACTCTGCGACCGCATGGACTGTAGCCTACCAGGCTCCTCCCTCCGTGGGATTCTCCAGGCAAGAATACTGGAGTGGGTTGCCATTTCCTTCTCCAGGGGATCTTCCCAACTCAGGGATTGAACCCAGGTCTCCTGCACTGCAGGCAGATGCTTTAACCTCTGAGACACCAGGGAAGCCCCATATCATAGCATATCCAGCTTCAATTAACAGCATGTTATGCCAGTTGTACCTCATTAAGGCTGTTTTAAAAAAGGAGTCCTATTAGCTGACCTAACAAATGTCTTAAAAATTTTTTTTGTAATTAAATATAATTTATAAAGTTTGCCACTTTAGCCATATTTGTGTATAACCCAGTAGCGCTAATAATTACATTGACAGTGTTCAACCATCACCAGTATCTATCTCCAAAACTTTTTCATCACTGCAAACAATCTCTGTAACCATTGAGGAATAATTCCCCATTCTCTGCTTCCCTCAAGAGAATTTCAATTTCTTAACCCTAAGAAAATCTTAATTTTTTATCTGTAAAAGGAAGATAATATAGATTTTTTAGGAGAATTAAATATGAAAAATTCATGTATCCAGGCTGAAATAAGCTTGCCATGTTAGTTGCTATTTTTAATTATGTTCATTAGCAACAGATTGGAGTAATAATTCCAAAAGAAGTAGAAAAAATTTAATAAAGAGGTTCAGGGCAGCAAAGAACTAAGAAAACTAGTTCTACTTTCTTGTTTTATATGTAATGAAATGAAACCAAAAGGGGGTAAAATTAAGGCATTGGATGATCCCCAAAGTGGTTTTTCAATTTCATCATGTATCATTTCATGAAGTGTTCCATGAAGTTTTGTTATTAATGACACACAAATATATTAATATATGTGAACCAGTCAGCTTTAAAACTGTATGGTAGAACATTTTGTTAAAACACACAGATGAAAAAAAAACTGGAAGTTAACAGCAGTTATCTTTTT